GTTGGTAAGTGAACATTTATTCCCCAATGAAGACCAGTGAGGGGAGCACACAGCTTGCTTTGGGCTCCACCACACAAGACATCGAGCCAGTCCTGATGTGGGTTTTAGACAGTGTTTGAATGTGGCTGTGAATGGAAACCCTCTGCAAATGGAGTTCAATCCCATCCACATTTGGGTAAAAAGGGACTCAGACACACACCGTCTATGTGGGAGCTGCTTCATCCAAAAACCCCTGTGGGCAGCAACCAGCTCGGGTATCACCCAACAGGTCTTACGGCGTGAGTGAAAAGTGGATTGTTCACTCTCTGTTTCTGTCTGAGGTCATCAGTTATGAGTTTTTTACGATCTGCTTATTATTCAAGCCACCAATTAACTCACCAAATTCTTTCTGAATATTCAGCTTGAAGTACATACATACATAGATATTCTACATCAACATACAAACATTCCAATGTGATATAAACTCTGGTGAATTCTGCTTAATTTGGCAAGAATATGCTTTCAAATTTGCTTTAGCAGGGGAACAAGATTAACATTCATAGTTAAAAAACAACTGCTAAAGGAAATCTTGGGGGACCCTCGGGCTTGGAAAGTATCCGAGCCACATTTAGCCATGTAATGGCTTGTGTGGAGCAGCAACAGTGTTTCTCATGAATATGTTATTCTTGACCTAATATCTTATTTCAAAAAATAGGCAATCTGACATCCTTTCCCAGTGGAAAACTGGGGGAACACGAACATTACAAATTCTGCTTCCACCTTCCCAAATCCATCAGAACTTTCACAAAGCACTTGTGTCTGTCATCTCAATTTTTATTTCTTAACTAGAGCATTTTCCACAGTGGCGATGGCCCCAGGGCTGTGTCTACAAACCTAAAAACTTAGGACAAAAAAAAGTTTAAAAAATCAATACTGTTCATTCACTTGAATTAGCTTGACTGAGAATGGAAATAATTCAATAAACTTTAGATGGCTAATGTAAAAACCTCAATTGATTTCAAAAGTTTGTGATTGTTTTTCATGGAAAAATTGATGACATTTTTATATTTCGGGACTTTTGCTATTTGCTCAGTTATCAATAGTCTTTGATTTGAGCCCTTTAAAAGCTTGAAACACCAAAATGTCAGATCAATGAGAGGCATTTAAAATGCCAAAGACAAACTTATATTTGCTGGGGGAACAATTAACCTTATTAATTTAAAAGGCAGCTGTGGTATTGGCTATGTGTTATGTTAATATCCTTTTAAAGGTTTGTCATAAATCCTTCCCAAAGGTTTGAAAGGGAATTAACTGGAAGGGGTTATGACCCAGGGCTACCGCTAATGAGGAATGTTCTAGGATCACTAAAGTGCCAACCCACTGACATGGTACATGAGAGGGATTAATGATAATCTCAGTTTCCCCTTCTTTGTTTCTGCAGTCAGCTGACACCTTATCTGAGGAAGTTAATCTGAGCAATGACTCCATTTTGAACAATTTGGTTCCAGGTTGCCTGGAGAGCTGCGTGTTTTTTGACACACGGCTCGAGAAGAAACACCACCGGCCAAACTGTTCTTTGGACCGCTCCATTCCTGCATGGTCCAGCATCCCTGGGAGAGTCTTGTCATGAACTTGTAGACCCAATAACAGGATATCAAAGTGACTATTCAATAGTAACAACCTTTCTGTCTTTAGACATTTGACTGTCAGCTTCACAGACAGACAGGGCTGGGGAATTTTTCTCAGGAACTAGGGCTAGGGTGCTTAGGTTAGGTTCATTGACCAACTAGGATTAATGAACGGAGTCTTCCAGAAAAACATTCCTTCAAATCCCAGACCAGTTTCCTCATCTATGAAATGGGCCTAGGGTGCCCCCACTTCACAGTAAATATAAATGCTAGGAAAGCAAGCAGTGTGGCTTAGACAGGAGTGCGGGGTGGAGAAAGGCATGTGTGGCTCAGTGGCTTTGCCCACAGAATGCATTCAGCACAAGGTCACTCTGGGCTCCTAGTAAACTTGATGGAAATATTCCAATCAGACACTCTTGACAGGACAAACCAGACAGACATTCAGTGGTTCCACAGTTCTCCTGATGCTGGTGGCCAGCAAAGCATCTCTAAGGCGATTTGGAAACAGCAGACCAAGAAGTAAAACAACAACAACAACAACAACAACATTTAATAGCTGGCCCTCAGCCGTTCCGACCACCACAGCTCATTTGTGCAAAAATCTATTCCCTACTCCCTGTCCCAGCTCTCAGCCTCACACTCGCCGCCTGGCAAAGCTAACCAAACATGTTAGTGCAACAAGAGGAGACAGTCACCTTGCAATGAACATGACCTCTTTGAAAATGGGGCAACAATGTTTAGGGAGAGCTTTGAAGGAGGGCCACAAGGCAGTGTGTGTGAGAGAGAGCGAGCGAGCAAGCATACTATGTACATATATTTAATGGAATTAGCCCTGATGTTGACTGATACAAAGAGAGGTTTGGAAAGGGATATTTAAGATTAGGCACATGCTTAGTAGAGAAAATAACTCCCCAAGAACCAAAAAGAGAAATGCTAAGTGCAAGCATACGGAAGAGGGGAGACACAAACCGTGTTAAGTCGTCGAAGGGACAGAAAACAGCAGGGAGACCCCAGGAGTCCTCGGTACATCCAACCAGACGACCAAGGGTAGGACACCAGCACTTCCTCATCACAGGTCCTGACACTCAAGAGGAAGCCCCGGGGCCTCAAAATAGCATATCCCTCCTCTGACCTCCCAGGAGGAGGTCTGGCACTTCGAGGATTTAATCTCACATTAAGGATTCGTTAGCTAGCTCTTGTTGCCGACAAAGCTGAGAACAACCTGAGCCTCAGTTTCTTTACCTGTAATATGGGAGTGATCCTCCTTCTATCTTAAGGTTACTTTGAAGATCACAGCCTATACTATCCTAGGAAACAGTCTACACACAGTGTGGACAGAAACGGGCATTTCCAAATTCAGGTGCAGACCCGTGGCACATCCTTGTCATAAGCAAAGCATCTAACATTCCAATAATGCGCAGAATGAAATTGACAGCAAAAAAAAAAAAAAAAAGTGCTCCATATGCACCCCATCCTCTTTTCTGAAACATTCTCCACTCCTGTTGGCATCTCCCTGTCCCACTTTATCTTTTTCTTCACCAGCCACAACAGTAGGCACTTGGGGCTCAACTAAGAACTCTCCCTCCTCCTCTCCCTGATACGCTCATACCCTGGACTGTCAGGAGTGTTCTTCCCAAGTCCAAACCGACACCAAACAAAAAGCTCTCAGGAAACATTTACTTTTGACACCATGGTCTGTTTCTAATCCTTTGAGGGCTTTTTTCAACTTTTTTTTTTCCCTGAAGCATATGTGATGAGCAGAGCTGGGCAGAAGCATGATCCGGTGAGGCGTGGGGAACTGGTTGGAACCAGACCCAAGCCTGCTTTGTGCACAAAGGTAGAACAGTGAGATTGAGCGCCTGTGTAGCTGTACCTGGGTTTCCTAAGACCCTTCTCAAAGGAGGAGTGAGTCAGTCAAGGATATTTCCGGGAACATCAACCCTGTTCCCTGAAGCTACTTCAAAGGCCTGGGTGATGCATTATGGTGGAAGACTTCTCTTTCTCTCTGTGTCTCTACCTTTGACCATGAATCAGATTAATTCAATGACTTTATTATTTCTAATTTTTACTGGTTATTCTCTGTTTGCATTTCATGGGTCCTCATTTATTTATTTTTGTACTAGGGAACTGGATTTCTAAACCATAAACTTCCTATGAGAAAAGAATGTATTTTCTATCCCCTTTGCTTCTGCCCAGCCCCAAGCTGGCCTTTAGGGCAGAGCGATACCAAGCGAGGTCCTTTCCACGTGCTTGCTTCCTGCTCAGCACGGGAGAGACAGAACTCTGTTCTCAGGCATCACTGCCAGCTTCCAGCTTTGGTCTGAGGTTTCAAACTAGATCCTTCGTTGGTTCTTTCTTGGGCAAAGGTCCCCCAAAAAGGTTTTCTTCCCTCCAGGGCTCTTGAGACAGGGGTTGTGAGGGAGCTTAAAGGAAAACCAAACTCAAAGAGGCATGCTTGGGGCTCCACGGGGCATGGGGCAAAGCAAGCCAGGCCAGTTCTACAGGGTTCTCTGAGTCTTGGTACAGAGGTACTCAGGAGGGTCATCACGGCAGAAACCTACAGATGGGACAGTCTGCTGGGGGAATCAAGGCAGGAGCAGGACCACGAAATCTTGGGTTCGAGTTCCAGCTCCAGTCCTCTCTAAGTTGATAACCTTACGCCAGTTACTACTGCTCTGCAGACTTAATTTTCTCATCCTCCATCCCCTCCCCAAATCTTGCTAGAGTCTAACCAATTCTGTTCCAAGATGCTTCAGGGCGGCCACCTTCAGCTGAGACTCGGCTGCCAGTACTTCTGGGCACACAAACAGAGCAGGCATGGGGAGAGGATGAGGGGTGCAGATAGGAAAGCTACGCCCTCTGCTGCGTTTCCAGAAATCACACACAAGTCCCTGTAGGTATGTGCTTCAGAAGTGAGTGTGAGGAGAAGCACCTGTTCCACACACCCAACGTCTGAGTTTTTGCTTTTGGAAGAAGGGGTTAAGAACACCGTACCCAAATCCGACTTGGGCTCTGTCGTCCTCCCTGGAAATGAGATTAAAAAAATAGAATGTCCTCTTTACAGAAATATCCTCCTATCAAAATAACCAGAGTGGGTTTTCCATGTGTTAATACCATCATTACCATTGGACTTTTAACATAAATTTTACAATATGTACAATTTACCTGGATAATACATTTATGTGTGAACTATAGAAACCAAGCATGTATAGTATATACATGTGTACATGTATGTATTCACAGGGTAGGGGCATTTGATCATCTCTGACGCATATCTCGTGGGGCAAGTTGACCTTGTCTGACACAATCAGTTGTGTGTGGACAAAGCACAACCAAGAGGAGAACTTTCCAAGCACAGACCACGTGCTCTCTCACCCACCACGCTCAACCCTGTTTACCAATGGGGTATCCACAAAGGTCTAATGTTGACTCAAGTGAAAATAAACAGTACTTTCAGAAGGAAAACTGCCCTGATGGAAAACCCATAAATCATATTGAATACCAACCAATGAATTTAGTTCCCGCTTACTCAATTTTTTTTTCTTGAAGTTCAATTATGTCTACCACAGCCATGGTTGATATACAACATGTCCCATTTCAGAAACAACTCGTGTCCCCTCCCACAAGGATTCATGCACGACAGCTATGCACAAAGAAACAGTACAGGGAGGTGCATTTTGTTACCGATGTATTCAGTTCCTCTGAAAGACATTTAGGTTTCTCAAATTAGTATTTACTTAGGTCTTAAACCACAAGGGATTTCAGTGCAAGGAATTTATTTACATGACAACTGATTATTAAAGCTGCACTTTTTGGGTTTAAGGGAGATAAATTTTTAATCACCACTTAATTAACACCAACTTTTTTTTTTTCCTTTTTCATTAGCAACTCTATTTGCAAAGAATTCAGGGCATTTGTCATTTCCTGAGAAGGATGCAGAATATTAAACACACATCAGTGGCAGACGTATCAAATAGAATAAACAATGTGTGACTACATGACTGCCGAGGATCTTTTGACTAATTAACCGCCTTGGCTCAGGTCCCATTTAAATGAAACCATTTCATTTGTAAACAAGGTGTAATTTTCTTTTTTTTTCCCTGAAAATAATCATGAAGCGATTTGACAGATTTTGCCGCAATGGGTGAATTTTAATGCTCTCCCTGGAAAAGCTAAGTGCTGAAACTTCTCAGGCAACGTATGGAGCAGAGAAGAGAAAACCAAGCACGGCCTGTGAGACACTCAGTCCTGCTGCTGGCTAGCATGATGGGAGGTTTGCAGAAGGCAGAACAGCAATGGGGAATGATATCAGAATCCCTCACCACTCATGGAGTCTCACTGTGGGGAAGGTAAACCCACTGGGGACATTCATGCTCCAGGCATTGAGACCAAGGTGACCTAAGAACTTAGAAGTGTCAGGATGATGACAACTGTTTTCCGGAAGCTTCCTCAGAGTAGAACCCATGCCCCCCGTGACTCTCTTACACACACTATTTTAAATTGGTTGTCCTTGCTAGCTACTTGCCATGGATAGAAACCCCACTACTGGATCCCATTTGCACCTGGTAGCCAGCGGGTTCCCCCACAAGTGGGGAAAACACTGAGTCCATGAGAAGTCATTAAGTCAGGTCAAACAACTCCAAGGTCTCCGAGCGGGGCTCTGGTGCACGACCCCTCTCAGAGGACCGGGACTCCTCCCTAACTCCCGTTTGCCCCCCACACTGGGTGCCATCTGCTGTTGGGCAGTTCTCGTCCCACTGTTCTTTTTCCCCAGGTAACTGAGCTGACTTGGACTACCTTTGAATAACTCCACATCGTTATCTGCTACTGGAAAACCAATGCTGGGGTCAGCGGCTGATTTTTCTGACTCGGCGAATTCCAGGAGAAGGGAAAATGTGTATCTGTTATACAGCACTGGCTATTCCATTATTTATTTAAACACTTTGGGTATTAAAAGAAGTGTATTTTTTTTTTCACTACATGGCTGTTGGTTATTCCCAAAGCCACATTCTCACTTCCTTTGTGCGGAGATGTATGGGGCTGATAGTGGAAATAATGCTGTTATTAGCAGACGGCTTTCTGATCCATGGGGCCAATCTGAGTGTAATTTGCACTCACCCTGGAGATTCTGTGGCATTTAGCAGCACCCCTGGGTTTTGAAGACACCAGACGAAGACAGAAAGCCTCGTTGGATTGATGACATTGCTGCTCTGCATTCTGGGGAGGCATTAAACATCACTGCGTGTGGAGACGTGCCAGCCCAGGGCATGCAGGCGATCCCAGCTGAGGAATGCCAATCTGGAATGCTACTGGAGGGTAAAGGCAGAAAGAGCTGAAAAGACCACACGGAGAAACCAAACTGAAGGTCGGAAATTGGGGTGACTGTCCAAGGTCCTTCCAACCAGGCTTCCGCATTGCTAGGTCTCGGGGCAGCACAATACAGCATCCAGGAAATACAGCATAATTTTCAAGTACACTGGTTATCAGCATCTTGTCAGTCCCTTCTGCCTTTTCAAAGATGATGGGAAGATGTGCTTTCACTCCTTGCTTTCCTCTGCCCCTTCGCTGCTGACCCTGAAATTTATTGCAACCAATTTTTGTCATTATACACATAGCGTAGAGCAGGTATGCGTCCCAAAGGATGAAGCCATTCGGCGTATTCTCGAGGAACCACTGGATGATACCTGGCCCCTGTCCACTTACAGGAAAATATGACTTTCAAAACAGAACACGCTCAGAGAACAAACAGGAAAATGTTTCAACCTGCTACACTGTCCTTCTCTCTAAGAACCCAAAGAAAAACGCACAAAGAAATCAGGAAATGGACAAGCTGGCTTCCTGAGCTTAAAATGTCACCACGCAGACAGAGGTGCCCATGCTGATGGCCGGTCGCCTCTGAAATGCGCTAATGGAGCAGACGGTTGCAAGATGCTCCATACTGTTTGTTGGTTTATGATATTTGATATTTCAACTAGCGAATCCTGACCTGAAAAACAATGCTCTTTGTGAAGCTAAGAAGCTTCCCATGCATAAATATTCTCACTTCTGTCTCCAACTGTTTAAGAAAAAAAAAAAAGAGTATCGTTTCATGCCACACATGTACAGGTGTGTGTAGAATAAGGATGGGATGGTGCAGGTGACTCAGAAATGACAAATGCTTTGAGGAATCCTTCCTGTACCACTGTTGGCACTGGTGAAGCCATTTGCTGCCAATAGAATTCTATCTCAGGAGAGTGAAACCAGCTGTTCCTCCAAAGTTCATCTGCGGTTTGGAGAAGGCTTGGGGTAGAGGCATAAGTGTCTCATCCCTTAAAGGCTTCAGTCTGAGGGTGGACTGGGGTGGAGACTCTGTCCAACAGAACTCTACGGTGTTTAGGAAGATAAACCTAAACCCCGCGCTAGCCTGAGGCAGACAGATGGCACTGCACTGCTCACGGATCACAGTATACATATGGCTGTTGGCGCATGTCGCCACATTAACAACTCTGGGGACAGCAACACACAGCTGATGAGACACCACATGGCTGGGCGGGGACTGGACGAGCTATGGTCACTCTGGGAGGGAAGGGGTAACAGGTACTATACAACCCTGAGTTGTCACCAGAAGGGAACAAACGCAAACTGACACACACGGGCGTCTTCGGGATAAATTACAACGGCCGCCGTGTCACAGACAGAAGACCCCACACTTAGAGATCGAAGACAAAGAGGTGTTCAGTTTATGCAGCTCTGAACAAGACCATCACAGCCAGGGACAAGAGAAACACACACGTCAGCCTCCAAGGGGATCCTGGTAGCTCTGTGCCTGAGGGTCCCTCTGGCCTTTTGCTCCGGACCTGTCTTGGAAACGGGCTAGAATGAAGGTGGCTGAGTTACCATGAACACACGGATTTGTTACTCTTGGGGTTGGGCCTGGGTGTGAGGTGAAGGCATAACAAGAAAGCTGAAACTGTTACAAGCCAAATGTCCTAATCTCTTGCACATGTCAATCTCGCTACAGTGCGGATGCATTCTGAAATTTATTTTGTCTGTGTCAGATTTACATGCATGCCATATTGCTTAATCTGTATTAGAGAAACCGTTAGGCATTTCTGACGAGGGAATTGCATGGTGGAGTGATCCGAATGGAATTTGGAATACAGGAAACAGTGACATCACCATCGACATCTGGGGCATCTCTGCTGCCAACACACCTCGCAGGCATGCCCAGGAGACGAGCCTGCTCTACTGGTTTTGGATCAGGACTCACCTATCTGAAATCTGTCACGCTCAGCACACGCCTCCCAAGATTCCTGGAGTGGAAGAGTATGGCGCCTAGCCACGGGCCAAACGGCCAACACAGATACCTCCCTAAATCCTCTTCCTCATAGCTGGGTGCCGTCGGACATCCACCATTTCCCTTCCAGAAACACTGGCCATTACGTGTGTTTCCCTACAGATGAAACATCAATGGGAGATTTTAAACATCGGATTCGATGCTAGGCATTTTCTTGTACACACGTCTATTGCTGCAGGAATTTAAAACCCTGGGGGTGGAGTACATATTATTCTTATTCCCAGCATAAGGCATGACATGCTCTGAAATGTACACGTCGCTGTGGCCCCGGCTGTCCCTGGAACAGTACGAGGCCGTTGACCTCAGGGACGAACGCAGGTAGCTGTCATTCACCGCCTGCGATGGCAGTGAGTGTTTATAGGGGTCCGAGGGGCATCTCCCGATAACCAGGCGCTGGTCATCCCCACAGGAGTGAAGGAACGGGTTATCGGAGGCATGGTCTGGCAGGAGGGACTTGCTCCTCCTGCTGTCCTCCAGACCTTGGGGGAAAAGGGAGCTTTTGTTCCCCAAGAGTTTGCTCGAGGGGACGCTGAACAGGCTCCCGTAGAGGTTCCCTTCCAGAAGCCGCTCCCTGTCCTTGAGGCTTGTGCTCCGGGAGGGCCTGCTCGGGTCCATCTCCCTCGGTTTGTCCAGGATGTTATCGTAGGAATGCTGCCGACTAATCCTCAGCTTGTTCTTTTGGAACTGGAGGGCGTTGTTCTGCGCCCAGTCCTGCTGGTAGGCCTCCTCCCGGGCGGCTGGGTTTCCCGTCTCCTGGAGCATCTGGTCTTCGTCGATGTCATAGAGGTTCCCCATGCGCAGGCAGGCGTCGCACTTGAAGGGGGACCGCATGGTGAAATGGCCCGAGTAGGTGGGCAGATTGGAGAGGCAGCTCCTGCAGTGGGTGGAGTTCTGCCGGTAGCGGTCACTGCCCTCGCTGTGCGGGGACCCCTTGTCTCTCAAGGTGAAGTGCTTGGCATAGAGCTTGTACTGGTCGTTGTTGGGCGGCCGATTCCTGTTCACCGGCAGCGTGGAGTCCCCCTTGCGGAAGCTTTCACTGTGGGCCTGGTAGGTGTCTGCGAAGTCCGCGTTCTCGGGAAGAGCCGTGTTTTCCACAAACTGGGGAGGGTCCAAGTGGAAACTGGGCTCCTTCTCGCCGTCGATGGTGTAGATCTTGTCCCTGGGGGAGCTCGCTTTGGTTTTTAGGTAGGTGCGCTCGACCTCGCTGCAGTCCTTGGGGTACTTGGAGGCTGCTGACCTTTTGAAATTGTCCTTGGTTTTGTGGTTCTTGTTGTTGTCCGGGTCCCTGTGGCAGGTGGCCCGACTGGAAGCCTCGGAGATGTCAGAGTGGGCCACCTCTTCCGGAAGGTACCTGGGGCTCTTTAGGGAGTGGGTCCTGTTCTCTGCTGTTCCCTCCTCCCTCTGCGAGACGGGATTCTGGGTCAGCGAATCCTGGCGTAGGGACTCCATGGATTTCTTCCAAAGCTGCCGGGGTCTGGAGTTGCCTTTGGATTCTGTGCTCACGGCCACCTCCACCGTGTTCGGGTTAGACTCGTTGAGAGTGAGAGGGTGCTGCCCCTGGAACACGTAGTTGTTGAGGTTATCCTTGTGCCTGTTGGCCACAAACGTTTGGAGCTCATTCATGTTGTCCCCAAAGATGCTGTCCTTCCCCTGAAAAGACCTGTTGTCCGAGTAGATCAAGTTCCCCTTGTCCGAAACCATGTCCACGATGAGGGAGCCCCTCTGGATGAAGTCGGCAGTTCTCTTGGGGGAATCCATTCTGGAGGAGGAGTTCATGTTGGACATGTTGGAGATGTTCTTGGCAGACCGCAGGAGTTTCAACATGTTGCTCTGGGACCCGGTCAGATTCAAGTCTGGAGACTTCTTCTTCTCTTCAATGTGCACCCCGTGGATGCAGCTGTAGATGCCCTGTGAGGGAGTCACACAAAACACCATGAGCAGCAGCCGCACATGCAACACATCTCCCTCCTGACCTTTACCCGCAAAGCTGAGAGAGCTGCTTCTCGTAGGAGCCCTGGAGAAATGGCGGCATTCAGTCTGAATCTTGATAATGTTTGCAAGATAAACTGTCAAACATTGGGTTTATCTTGTTGCTCTGGCTCAGAACTACTGGACCCCTTTTCCAGAGAGTCACATGTGGAGTTTGTAAAAAGCTATCAGTGGATGCTTATACAACTATCCATGGGTCAGCAACTCCAAATTGGCCCGCCAGGATATTTCATCGACCCTCCCAACACTCAGTTCACCTATCCGTGCTTTATCACAGTCTCCCGGCATCATCTCTGAAGTTCTGACACCACAGAGTTATCTGTTGACAAACTAAGTCAGTGCAAAAGAATCACCTATGGTTAGTTCTTTTCCAGAATTATCCCTCCACGTATGCTGAAGCTATCAATGAAAGCATGTGACCTGAGCAGTCCAACCAGAAAGTATACTTTCCCTGTGAACACACTGGACTTAAGGATGACAGGATGTCCAAGTGAGGGCAGGCAGATAGATGTTCTGGAGGGATAGAAATGAATGTGTGGATAAAGGGCGAAGTGCCAGAGGACTGGTCTTCCCAGCATGTGGGGACAGTAGCCTGAGAGTGAAGTCATAGTCATCACAGTGGAAAACAGGATCCAAGGGACAGGGAAGAGACACACACTTTGAACCCCCGGGGTCAAACTTCTAGATCTTTTTTCACTTAATCCACTTAATACAGTCTTTGTGTTTGTGCCTGGGTTTGATCAATGCAGTTAGGATGTGATTTTAGCTACTAGCAATAACAGCAGAGAGTGCTGATGACATGGTGATGCTACCTTCACACCCATCCAGGAAAATGAACACTTCAGGGACCCCCGGGGGAAGCTCAAATACAAGCACCTGCATCTACAGCTCTCCTCCCTTTCTACTCCTTCCTGTTGTAACAATAACTGTTTTCACTTCAAACAAAGTAACCGTTTAGTGCCTCCAAGGGGAAGAGTTTTTGACTCATGCTCCAGGAGCAGGCAAAAGGGCATCATGGCATTTTGATTTGTGGCCTCCTCTGCTTTTCTCCACCTCCACCCTGGATTTAGGCAGCTGTTCCTAAAGGAAACCATTGGATCCAGGCTGTAGGGTTTGACCTCGTCCTCCCAAGACTGATAGGATGCCAGCCCAAGAAGGGGGTTTGGAAGGCAGATTTTCCAACGGCTGGAGACACTGGCAAGCACTCCAGTGAAGTGTGTGTCACTCACTACCCATTTTGATGATGGCAGCTCCATGGGTGTCCCATGGGTGGGCACAAGCTTAGCCCACAGCGATGGTGCAACTGTGACAGCCTCAACTCAGCAGTGCTTCTGCCTTTTTCTTATTGTTTTCTAGAGACAGTCTCCACACTGGCTATTAAGGAATGGCAACCAGAAAAAGAGCTGCCAGCCTGAGCTTCTCCTCCGACCCTCTCCACCCCAGGGCTCCATGGTCAAGGCTCCATGTGGCTCCAGGCACTGGCACCGTGCCCTTCCCTCCCTTCCCGCAACCTCATCATTAGTCTCCTTGTCTAGGACGTACAAAGCTGCACCTCCCCCCTGTTGCTTCTAGGGATGCTGGCACAGCCAGACTGTGGATGTGGGCATCATACAAATAGGCTGTGCATTTCACATAGCACAGTGTTTCGTAACCTTTCGTGTCGACCCATGTCTTCCTCGCTCAATTTAGTAATATAATGATCTAGTGCTCTGACCTGGAGGCACTCTGCTACCGTGCTGACAATCAGGGTGTCTCCGGTATGTTAGAATCAGCCCCCGTCTGTGTCCTCTCTTCCTGTCGTTAGTATTAGGACAACAGTCACTTACTTTTTTGTTTTTTTTCTAAATTTGCAACTCTATCCTAACAAGGTCTCCTCCTCCTCCTGCCCCTGGAGATTCCAAGGCCTGCCTCTGCCCTGTCGCCTTCACGGCCAGCTGCTCTTGCCTGCCCAGCTGAGCTGGCCTTCTTTGTCTTTGTAGGAGCCCAGGGATGTGGTTGGGGAGCTGAGTTCTGTTTCTGAAGACAGGAGGGTGGCTGCTGACCGCTTCTTCATCCTCCACTGCCCTGGGACTGACACAACACAGCAAAGGCAGTTCCCGGGCGTTGATGCACCCAGTGAAATGGGGAAGGAGGCACGGTGGTGGGTGCAGCCTGTATTGAGGTTTTTATAACAGCTTCCTCCAGCTGATTCAGCTTCTAAATAAATGGCTGCTGAGCAGCGGGAGTGCGTAGGACAGAGTCAGGGGGAGTCTCCTCTCCCCGTCTCCATCTTTGACTACATGAGCCACTATACCTTTGTGAGCCTCTATTCCCATGTCTGTAAAGTGGGAGTCATATCCTCCTCAGGTGGACACCAGGACAAGATGGATTAATGCCAATAAAGCACCTGACGCCGCAGGTGCTGAACAAGCAGGAATGGGTTGTGCCGCTCGGTCGCCTCCGACCTGGCCCTATCTCCTCCTCCTTTCACACCAGCTTGAGGGAGCAGTGCACGAAACGCCTGCTGTTCTGAGAGCCACTTTGTTTTCTGGCTAGATAAGCAGCCAAGCCCTACCTCGGGAGGCAGATAAACACCTGGCAAGAGCGTCCTTCTTCCCTGCATGGCTTTCCCTTTCTTTTCTCTACTATTCATGGATTCTGACTACATTTTGTGCATAGTGGAAATAAGATGCCCTCTTGGTCTTGAGTGGGCTCAGAGTCATACAGTCAGCACGGGGCACTCAACGTGCTGCTCCAGCAATTTGCTTTGTTCCCCCAGAGGGGACCTGACCCTTCAAAACAGTCTCATCTGTAGGGCTCTACTCTTCTCCTATATCCTTCAAGCCTGGACCCCATCCCTGAGTGTCTGACTTCGACTGGCCACAGTTGTGGTTAGCCAAGTGTGTTCCATGCTGTGTCCAAGCCTCCGGGTCAGATCTCACTGGGAAGGTGGCTACTGCTGCCGTCCCCCTAACTGTTGGCTCCAAAGCACCTCCCATTGATCATCCTTTGGGAGGTGATCCAGGCTGGTGATAGCCAGTGTATTTTTCTAAATGGGAGGGACCTGGAGGGCCTGGTTTGAGTCCTAACTCCGCTTCTGATGCCAGCTTCCTGCTAATGCAAGCCTGGGAAGCGGCAGATGATGGATCAAGTTCAAGGGTCCCTTCCACCCTCATGGGAGACCTGGGTTGAATACCTGGACCCAGCAAGGCATCTAAAGAAAGAACCGCTGGATGGAAGATCTCTGTGTTTTCCCTCTCTCTGCCTTTCAAATAAAATGAAAGTAAATAGGTTAAAGCTAAATTATTTTAAATAAAACTTAAATGAGGAGAAAGGATTTTGGAGAGAAAACAGAAGCCAAGAGCATCCCACGGGCAGGAGGATACATTTCTGTAAGTCATAAAAGACAAAGGTCGTGGCTATGACGGAAGAACTTCGCTCCAATATGAAATAATTGTTTTCTCTGAGCTCAGGCCTTCTCCCATGTCAGTGCCAAAGTGCACATATCCCAGGTTTGCATTTGTGTTGCATTATCTGGGAGCTTCCCAAGGGATGTCGAGCCCAGGGGTAGGGCTGTCCATGTCTGTCTCGTGATAACAGCTTCAAGTTCTCTGGTTGGATGTTCACTGCACCACAAGAGGAATGACTGACAAGGAAGAGATTTAGCTTCAGTTCAGAAAACAACCTGCCGTGAGTAAGAAGTAAATTTCAAAGCACCTCGGGTCAGCACCTCTTAGAGAGAAGCTTAAATTCTAAAGTTGAGTCAAGCACACGACCCAGCCATGCATAAGTAGACAAGCTTTCTCTTTAATGCCTTTTTGTTTTCCTGGTGTGGGAGATGAAGTCAGAAGAGTTCTGTTGTTCCAAGGAAATGGGAGGTGAAGCTGAAAAGGTCCCAGTGTAACCTCGGGGACCTGTTTCCCATCCACAGGACGGCTGTGATCACAACAGCCGCACAGGGTGTGGCGAGGATTAGAGTTGGCAGAGGGGATACACCTGGCCCAGGCCCTTAGGCAATGCCAGTGTCATTCATGTTGCTTGGGAATTCCCCACTGCAGGTTCTCTTAAAGAAAGAGACCACTGGGGCCGGCGCTGTGGCGTAGCGGGTAAAGCTGCCTACTGCAGTGCTGGCATTCCATATGGGCGCCGGTTCGAGTGCCGGCTGCTCCATTTTTGATCCAACTCTCTGCTATGGCCTGGGAAAGCAGTAGAAGACTGGCCAAGTCCTCAGGCCCCTTCACCCATGTGAGAGACTCAGAAGAGGCTGCTGGCTCCTGGCTTTGGATAGGCACAGCTCTGACCATTGTGGCCATTTGGGGAGTGAACCAGCAGAAGGAAGGTCTCTCTCTCTCTCTCCCTCTCTTTCCTCTCTCCTCTCTCTCTCTCCCTCTCCTTCTCCATCACCCTCTCTGTCTCCTTCTCCCTCTCTCTGCCTCTGCCTCTCTGTAATTGTGCCTTTCAAATAAATAAAAAATGGGCTGTGGACACACAGGGAATGCACTGTGTTTCAGTGTGTGTGCTGTGCCCTGTGTAAGCATAGAAGTCAAAAGGTGTATGTGTCACTGTGCACAGAAAACAAGCTTTTTGAGGTGCGGGTAGCCCTTGACCAAAAAGGAGGGACTGTTTTTAAGCAACTCAGAGTCCCTCTAGGCATAGAACAGTGGCTGAACCTGCTCAGAGTCCCCCCTAATAAACCATTATTAAATTATAAACTATCCTTAAGAATGAAGCCTCCCTATTCATATATACCAAGTTGCACTTATATTTAAAAAGAAATTATTTTTGTCTTGTATATCTGTGGGGCAGGAGACAGCCATGAGGGTGACTAGGAGATCCTGAGGGAGTGCAGAAGTGGCAACCTTGCTCCCATGGGACCTGAGACCCTCTCCCCACCCCATAGGGAGACAGAGGACAAAGTTCAAATTGCAGCCTTTGAAGCAACCACACCACCAACACCTGTTCCCATGCTGCCCGGGGTCTCCCAGCCTTCCTGCCCCTCACTGCTCAGTGTGCTTGGAAAGGAAGTGAAATGTTCCATTCATTTCTCATAATGATCATCCTATCAACTTGGCCTCCTTCGTGATGTCTCAGGCGGAAGGAAACACTCTTCCAAAAACAAGCGGGATTCACAAGCAAAGGCAAGAGTGTGCATTTGCTCGTGATGATCCCAGAACCGTTTGGATACTGAAAACTTTTAGTAATTGGCTGGGAGAATTAGTTTAAAGTTGGCATAACACCTAGCTATCTGCATGCATGTTGTTAGTTTAGAGCAATCCGTGTATTTAGATGCCATCAGCTAATTAGGAAATATGTATTTGCACAGAGTCCAAATTTGTAGTGCAACTGAATGGAGAAAATAAATCCTCCTCACCAAGCTAATGTGTACCTTCTAGATCTAGAAAGTTCTTAAAAAGACCGAACGCTTATGTCAAAGCAATTATTAAATTTTTTTCCTGATAAACACCAGCAAATAAAATTAGATGTCTTTAACCAGGTTTTTCCGCTAATTCATCAAGCACTTCCAAGGTGAAAACAAAAACAAAGCACCTCAGAGGGCAAACAAGAGAAGTGGGTAGCTGAATGGTTGAATAAATGGCCAGCGTGATTAGACTAGGTGGAGAGGTGCGGGCCCAGTATGCATGGGTGATCTGATTGCAATGCAGTAAGTGGCAGGTTTTATTCCACGTGTGAACACGTATGACGTGGACTGCACACACATGTACATTTGTAGTAGAGACCGCTGTGTTGCTGTGTTTGTTGTTTGTGGGAGAGCGCAAGCCTTGGCTGGTGTCACGCCATCTGCATTCAATCGTGGTTCCACCTCACGGGCTGCGATTCCCTTCATCTTGTAGTTTTGCCATTTGTAATCCGAGACTAACAGCAGTATCTATCTCTCATAGGATTGGCTTGGAGATTAAATGAGAAGGAAAACAGAAACTTCTCACACAAAGCCTGGTATACGAAGTACCCCATAAACATAATAAATATATATGTCTACTGGTGACGAATTGTGCCACACATACCTTGAGCGGCACACACGTGCTGTACTGTGCTGGAAAGGGATTCACTGCATACAACTCACTATATCATGTGTGTTCTCTGCTGTCGTCTACATTGGGTTGAACATACATTCTGGATTTTTTTGATGCGTGCGCCTTTCCCTCTTGACATGTCATGCCCATGTCTCATGTGTCAGGCTCTGCTGTGTTGCTGTTTGTATGTTGTTAGGTTTGCATATGCACTGCATGACACTGCATGTAGATTCTGTTTTGTTCTGCACGTTCCATAGTGGTGCACCTGTAAACTCTAAGATCCTGCAGAACAAGGTTGGTAACGTAACACCGGGCTAATGAAGGCCAGATCGATTTGTCTAGTCCACATATTACAAATGGAATTAGTTAGCTAATATTTAAAAATAGAAACATCCACATAACATCAGATTCACTTTCTCTCTTCAAAGCTAGAAGACTGAGGATACCAACCACACACTCCATAATACCATACTCGGCAGGAGTTGTGCGTGGCTCCCCTCTCTTGGTTGGCAAGCCTCGCACAGCTTTCCCAGGTCCAGTCACTACCTCTCATTGCATTCGTGCGGTTTCTCTCACACCCAGCCTCCTACATCCATCCCACGGGACCTCTGTGCTTCACAGTCATCCGGGTTGCAATGCCCGGCTTACAAATGCACACAGGAGTCTGGAAGTCCTTCTGAAAAACCCAACAAGAGCTGCTGAGTGAGGGGAGCGGGGGACAGACCCCACTGGGAAGTCAGGGATTCCCTGCCTCCCAGAAGCCCCACACTGTTCGGGCCCCGCCTCCCAGGGATACTGACCCTGCTGATGGAGAAGAGCAGCCCGGGCCGGTCGGAGCACACGCCCGTGAAGCAGAAGCGCAGCTTCCAGTAGAAGAGGTGCTCCCAGATGAAGGTGATGAGGCTGAGGGCCATGGCCGCCGCCAGCATGTAGAACACGCCCGCCATGTTGTCCACGTCCAGCTGGCTGCTCATCACCTCGTTCTTCTCATTGTGGCAGATTCCCGTGAGCCACAGTGCCTCCAGCTCCTCCATCTCACCTGAGCAGAACACAGGGTCCACATGCAGTGAGGACTGCAGCGTGCAGCCTGGGGCTGAGCCCTCTGGAAGGCAAGTGACTGAGCACCCCTGGAGTCCATCAGCCCCCCTGCCGAGCAAGGATACTGATAACCACACCCGCCTAGTGCCACTGCAGGGAGGGTGGGGTAACACAAGCAAGGATGCTGATAACCACACCCGCCTAGTCCCACTGCAGTGAGAATGGGCTAACACATGAGGAGGGTGCTTCGAAAAGTGTGCAGACGAGAACCGAAAGATCAGCTTATGTTGGTGCAAAAATTCTTGAAATCCATGCACATGAGAGGTCTTCAAAAAGTTCACAGAAGACAAGTTATTATGAAAAACTTAGGCATGGAGGCCAATATTTTGCACCAAAATAGATGTATCTTTAATTCCATTTTCCGTACCTGAAGTATCCTCTGCCCAAGTGCCTCTCTGGGGGGCACACCCCCCAGAAATTAGAGGCACAGCCACAGTTTCAGCTTAAGCAAAAACAGGATGGGGATGGGCACACCCACTCCCAAAGGAATGTGGCAGTGGGACCAGCAGGGGCCTAATGGACATGAATTGGTACCTGGAGTATTTTCAGGAATTTGTAAGTTTGCATGAGCATCTAAATGGGCCTGTCTCTGAAGATTAACAACACAGCTCTAATCCCTATCTTAGGCCACCAGACCCAATTCCTTTTCCCAAATCCTTAAGTTGATGTATAACCTTGCCTAGATGCCTGCTGGCTTGTAGACTTGCTGGTATCCTCTAAATAAAAGTGGGAGTGCATAGCTACCCAGTGGCGGGCTCTTAGAATGGATACTCCCATGTCCTGTCTCCTCATCTGAAAACCCCACAATACAGTGCAGTGAATTCAGCATAGTTTCTGGTTTTGGTGTTTTGGGGGTGTTTTTTAGGGGAGGCAGGATCCTATTATGTTCTTCCCACCTTGCTTTTTTCTACCCTGGCCCCAACACCCACCCACACTTACAACGGGGACACGGGAATAAAGTGGCAGCATGCTACAGTGGACAGACTTCATTTCAATTCTGACTTCGTCATTTACCTTGGAGCCACAGTCATCCTGCCTGTGAAATGGGTATAATAACAGTGTCTACCTCCAAGAGCCTCTGGTGAGAATCAAATGAGATCAGCACATATAAACTCCCTGAAGTGCCTGGCCTCTATCGTACATAGTAAGCTCTCCTAAATAGTAGCTTGTGCTAGTACTTATCATTGTAAAGAAACTGCCTAGAATGGAGCCTGGCACATCTATGGTATTTCTCCACTGCATTAACTTCTTCTTTCCCCGCTCCATAGAATAACAACTACAAGCGATAGAGGTGGGGCATAGACTTCAGGTGAAGAAAGGCCTCTTTGGCTCTGAGTAGCCTCCTGCAAATCAAACACCCCCACCCTACAGTAGGCAATTAAAGCAGCAGCTAGATTTTCCAACAGAAGAGAGCAGCAGCCGTGCTTGGCTCGTCGTTCTTTCACGTGCACTCTGACCTAAACACCTGGGAATTATCTGGCAACTCACTGAACCATGGCACTTAAAGACTGCACACCAAGCCTTTAAAAACATACTCTTCAAGGGCAATGAAGACCAAGGAAGCTGCAGATAATGTTGAATGAAAAGCCCGACTACCTTTTGTATGCATCTGTATTTATAGTATCTCTAAGACGTAGTAAAGACAGGGGAAAATAAAGGAGACGCCAGAAATGTTTGGACTGATGCCCTTTTGAAGAGGTTGACTGTGATTAGTAACTTGGTTTTGGTCTCTTGTTTAGGTTTTGTGAAATTAGAGTGGATTGCTTCTGGTTTGTTCTCTCTCTTGAATGCTTTGGCGGACCAGAAAAGTCCCAGCTGATGATGATCTTTTTCTTCAAGCTTTTGAAGATGTTGTTTGATTTTCTTTTGGTCTGGGCTGCAGTTGCTAAGAACCTGGCTGATCTTTAGCTGTCACCCCTTTCCATGCCATCTCTATTTCTAATTGCCTTGGAGAATTTCATTTGGCATTTGGTGTGGACATTCAGGTATGGATTTATTTGTTCTGCTTTGGACTCAGAGTGATTCTTCAACTGGATGAGTTACCACTTTAACTCGGGAAAAAGTTCCTCTTTAATTGCTTCGGACACTGTTTCACCATCCCATCCTTGCCCCATTGATCCCTCCTCCTACCCACCCTGGAACCCCAGCAACTGTGGATCTTTCTGCTGTCTCTACGGTTGTGCCTTTCCAGAATGTTCCAAAGTTGGACTCACACAGTATGGAGCCTTTTCAGACTGGCTTCTTTCACTAGAATCAGGACTGTGAGTTTCCTCCACACATTTTCTGGTTTAACTCTCATTTATTTTTCTCATTGAGTAATATTTCATAACATGGATGCACAGTTTGTTCATCCATTCATCCAACTAAGGAATGTCCACGTTTTGGAAATTGTGGATAAGATGGCTATAAATATTCAGGTGTGGGTTTTCTGGACATGCCTTCAAGTCCATTGGGTAAATGTGTACCCAGAAACACTACTGATGGATACTATGGTGAGGATTCTGTTTAGCTTTGCAGGAATCTGACAAACTGTATTCTAAAGTAGTTGTACCGCTTTGCCTTTCCACCAGCACTGAATAAGAGCTCCGGTTGCTCCACCCCCTTACCAGAATTTACTGTACTGTCAGCATTTGGGAATTTTTGCCTTTCTAATAAGAAGGGAGTTCTCATTTTAGTTTGCAATTTCCTAACAGCGTATGATAATCCTATTTTATTCTTTTCCTGAAACTTTTGTTTAAAACATTCTTGACCTTTTCACTCTGTCCTCTGAGTTATTAACCTTGTTTTAATATTTTGCATTCCTTTATTCCTCTATGCTGGATGATTTCCATTGATCTATTTTCTTGTTTATTCTTTCATTAGTAAAATTTAGCTTAACTTGAAAATTTTAATGTAATACTGAGTTATGACATTTATTTGGCTCTTCCACAGTTTTGTCTGCTACTTCTATGATAACATCCTGTTCTTTTGCTATGACTGTCTTCAAGTTTTATATATTTAATAATTTGAATCGTGCAGTCTTGGGGATTACTTCATGGCATCCCCATCTGTGTCTGTTGCGCGTTCTGACCCTCAGGGTGGGTTATTTCCTTGTGACATTTGTAACTTTTGATCATGGACAGATATTGTGAAGAGCTACTCTCTCTCTAAATTCCAAAAGCCCCCAAGAACAGTGGGTTACAGAAATGCCTACAAAGGGTTTCTGGGTTTGCTTCAGTCATAGCTCCAGTGGTTTTAATGTCAGCTTTTCTGCATGAGTCTTTTTTTAATTGTGATCACTACACCCTTTCAGCAGCATCCATTTGGAATACCATATCCTTTGGGGTCTTCATCTCTTACTCAGAGCTTCTAACAGACGGCAAACCTCCTTGAACGTTCTTCACTTTGATGGACAGAGACTTCCTAGCCTCCTTTTCATAGCTGAAGTACATATTTATGGGAGAGAAGAGGAACCCTGTCTATTACATCTTCCCCGACGAAGCAGGGCTCTTGTTCGTTACTGGCACAGGCAAAATGAGGGAAGGGGCTACCCTGATGCACTTTGTTTCCTTCCAACAGCCTCCAGCATGGCTATCCGGCCAGATCTGTCACAGCAGAACCTGTTACACCAGCCCGGTGTCCACTCAGCCCCACCACAAACTCGGCCCGAGCTCTCTGCCCACTGTGTCCCTGGACACTCACACGATGGCTTCTCCCCTCAGAAAAGCACCGAAGTCAACCCTTTCAAACACAACTGCTAACCTTCCCCTCCCTTTGGAGTAAATGAGGAGGCCAAAGTGGGTCTTCCCACCATGACTCATCAAATCCCAGCACACTGCCCCTGTGGGGTTGCTAGCCTGAAACGGGCAGCAACATGGCCCAGGTTTCTTTTCAGGCTCCAGATACGAATTTCCCTCTACCCTTTGCCAAAACAACATCTCTGTTTAGAGTAAGTCAGCTCGGCAAACCAGACCTGCACTCTGGGAGGAGAGGAAGTTCACATTTCTCAATACCAATTACAGCCTGTTCCAATCATTTTCCAGTTAATCATTTCCTGCCTCGTGGCCCTCTTCGAGTAGTGTACTGAACTGTAGTTCAAATACTTTTCTTATTTCGTTTTTAATTTACTCAAGTATACTGTAATCTCCTTGAGGGAGATCGCACACCGTGCTTTATGGTTTTGATTCTTCTTGTGGCCTGCGGCATGCAGTACGGATTGAATCCATATTTTCTGTTTCTCTGTCTTTACTTGGATCCCCAGGCTTATTGCAAAAATGCTCAGATCTGTTTGCTGAGTTTTGCTGTCACATAAACGAATGAAGGAAACACAGAGCTGAGGGGAACTTGCAATGGGCTTGAGCACGAAAGGCATGCCCTTGGCCAGGGCGAACAATCAAATGCCATTTTCCCAAGAAGCAGCTCTGGGAAACTTATTCCAGTGTCAGTTTCTCCCATTACGAGGAGGTCACTATCTTTGTCAATACGATCCCTCGAACCAGAGCCAGTAAATGGGACAATTAAATCTCCTGCCTGGAGCAGACTCATTCTTGCTGGGAAGACACGAGCTCAACGCTCTCCTGTGAGCAGATGGAGACGTGCATCGGCAGCTGCGGGTCTGCAGCCACTGTTGTCTTTCTCTCCCCACAGGGGAGGACCAGTCCTCCTACAAGGCTCAGCCTACATTCTGCTGACACCTCTACTGATGGGAAGTTCATGAACACTCGCAGAACAGGGAGTTACACCTGCTCAAGGGCTCTTCCTGTACCTATCTACAGGGGACAAGACGGTACCAGCCACACGGAGGGGTACCTCTGCCAACCTCTGAGTTCCACCTCATCTTATGGAAGGCTGTAAACTCAGCACATGGAGCAGCGAGTCTCTCTTTTCTTAATGCTGGCATCACTGAAAGACAGATTGGTGGGGTTGCAAGAGTCAGGAGCCAGAGATATAGAATCTGAAAAA